TCTTTCTCACTTTGGCGATCCTCTGATTTTTTTCTCAAGCACCATCATAAGGGTGACATTTGTGGACAACTATCAGATGGAGTAGTGTTGTCAAAAATATCCATTTATGGATACATATCAATTCTGAATATTTGAAACAGTTTCAGCACTCATTTTCCGCACAAACGATACACCACTATTCGCTACGCTTTCTTGCTTCCTTCTATGGTTAATTTTTATTACTGTCATTCTCCTGTTCTTTGAAACTAACCAAAATAAGGAAAGTCATTATCATGTGATAGCCTTGTTATGTGCATCTTTTAATTAAAATGTTGCACACCCTCCATGTCAGTGTTTCCCTGTAGTATTGAAATAGTATCAAATATCAATATTTTTCAAGGTATTGTTTCGACGTCAGAAATTCCAGTATCGTGACAACACTTGGATGGATTACCATGAAATTTGGTACAGATACTCACGTCCCCCATATGATGAACTTAACTCATCATCATCAGGTTGAATTTTTAATTTGTCCAACCCTTTGGTTAATGAGCACATACCTGTAAAACTCATGACATCCCCAACAGCCTCAGCTGTACTCTGTGTTTAATGATCATTAGCAAATGTTAGCGTGCTAACACACAAAACCAAGATGGTGACATCATGTCTCCTAAACATCACCATGTGAGCACTGTCAATGAGAGCATGTTAGCATGCTGATGTTAGCATTTGGCTCAAAGCACTGCTGTGCCTCAGGAGACCCTCACAGAGCTGCTCACAGGGCTGCAGACTCTCAGTCTTGTGTCTGTTTCTTCCCTGATGTAAAGCATATTAAAGATAATATAAGGATGCACAGTATGTGATAGCATTTGGACATAGCTAAAGACTACTAAAGGGCATGTTTCAGGTTTCCCTCCCACCTTCCTCTCTCTGAACTCTGCTTCTCTCTCCTCCATCATCGCCTCCTGTCTTCCTCACACTTCTTCACTGGCTCTTTTTTTCCCCTCCGTCACCTATTCCCTCCCTCAGAGCGCTCCCGACTCCTGCAGAGACATGCTGCGTCATGGAAACGACCGGCTCTGTGTGTGTGTGTGTGTGTGTGTGTGTGTGTGTGTGTGTGTGTGTGCGCGTGTGTTTGTTTGAGTGTGTGTGGAGTATAGCTGGTGTTAAAGCCACCCTAACAGCACCTCCTGCCGTCCTGCTTGGCAGATCATTATAGGCACTGAAGATTTAAAGGGAGGCTGGAATGATAGTAGAGAAGAGAAAAAGAAAGTGGCTCAGCCCAGAAACATCTGCACCCACTTGTCTGTATTTTTCATAATGTGCCTGTGTGCAAGTTTTTTTATATTTCACATTATCGGCATCTCTGCTTTCATACTTGTATGGTCTTTTGGGTTGTTAAGAGGCAGTTGTTCCCCAAAGTGGATATGACAGACTCACAGTGTTCTCGTGCAGAGGTTAATGGTTGTTCCTGGCTGAGTCAGAACACTAAATTTCATTATTTTTCCATTCACTAGATAATACACCCTCTGGAGTCTAAGATCGTTTTGATTTTGCTTCAAAATTTTTGCCTGCTGGTTTACATACAAAGATCATTTTGCTTTGCGCGCAGTTGTGTTTCTCTTTGATCCAACACTATCAAAGGCCGTATTTCTTTAACACAAATGCAGATTTTACACCAGAAGAAATAAATTTGATTGTTTTTTGTCTACACTTCAACAGGGTTCCTGTGGTTGTTTTTATGTGTAGTGGGTGATAGTCTTAAAAATAATTGAGTAGGCTGTTTTTGGAGTCCAGAATTGCGATCATGTGTGAGGGTCTTGCTGTTATCATCCCACTTTCTGTGAACATCCTCTTTGTATGGAACTACAAGCGCCGATTCTTATCAGATCAGGGTTCATGTCTCACTACAGTGCTTACACTGTGCAATTTGAGACCCTTTCTGACCCAATGTGCTGCATGACTCATTTTAAAGTCTGACCAATTTTCAGCTTTGTCTGGTGTTGTATGCTGTATAGTGTGCAGAGCTAGGACTGATCATGGCCCGATCAGCTGCTCCCAACCGTTGTTAGACGTCCAGATGAATTCCTGACATGTCAAAGGTTTTGGTCGACCGTTGTCAGGCTTTCACACAGTTGAAGCAGAGCCACAAGTCGATTCCCCAAGATCAGTTCCTTCTTTTGCATCTGAAAGTGACATGGCGACACAACCTGTCATGTGAAACGAAAAAATAGACACATTGGTCGAGCTGAGGCTGCAGCATATGTACCTCTGATTTTTCCTCCTCCTCCTATCACGATATGAACAAGAGAAATGTTGTGACATTATTGTGAACTTTACAGATCTCTGCTAGCAAACAAACTTCTGCCAGCCTCTGAGCTTTCAAACAAATCTTTATTGACAGTTACCAATACCCAGAATGGTCCGCAGGGTCCGATGGATGGGCCGCTTCATTATTTTCCTTATGTCTGTACAGTGTGACCACTGGTTGTGTCTTGTAGATTGTGCTGTCGAGTATGTGTAGATAAATTGTGAGCTTTTTCTTTACATCGCAGGTGATTTACTCGTACAGTAGGTTGTGGAATTAAACAACATTTTTAAAATGGGCTCAAATTGCACAGTGTATGCCCAGCTTTATGTGCATCTGTCTTGGGTTCCAACGCGAGAGCATTTTTGGACAGTTTGACCGTCTATAAAAGAACAAAACATGATAAACTCCTCTGACTCACTTGGTACATTCCATTTCAGATTCAAGTCCAAATTTGTAACATATCTGTTTAATCTTCCCTCTCTTATCAGCAATGTGTACAACATTCAGATAGTACTTGAGCTAAATAATAAACATCTACCTTATCTGGCAATTTATAGCTTTTATTACTTAAAATTGTCAAAAGCTAAACCTAAATGAATTGGACACATCGAACCACCGCTGACCCCAGCTCTTCTACTTCTGAGTGTTAGAGGGTGTAAAGATGTAAGTGAAAGCCAAAATGTGGGAACAGCAGAAAAAAAGTGCACGAGTTGATGGATCCCACCCTCCATTCTTCATTCTCCTTAAGCCTCACGATTTTCATCATTGTGAGATTGTATGAGTTTGCGTTTAGACAAAAATGCCACAGAGAGACACGCAGTGCTTTGGCAGCACTTTCACAACCCACAATGATAGAAGAGGAACCATGAAAATCTCCTAATTATACACACACACTCTCTCTCTCACACACACACACACACGACAGTGTTGGGAAGGAGACAGGAAAGAGGATTTCTGTTGTAAAATGGGTTTATAGCTTCATTACTGATGAAGCGACAGAAACAACATATTTGGATTTGGAGCTTATCGCTGCGTACTGTAAATGTCTCTGTGTCAAGTTGTTGTTTTTATCTCTTTCTGACAGAAAAAAATGCATCTAGAGGAGCTATGTGAGAGATTAATATCAATTTAGAAATGTAACATTACATTTTTCATTATATCCTTTTTAAGATGTTGGTATGATTAACATAAACAAACGAGTGTATCACAGATGCAGCCTCCACTTAGCTTTAGATGCTGTGTTACGCCAGGGGTGTCCAAACTTCTTTGAATGGTGGCCAGGTAATTAAACAATACTTGGGTTATCGAGGTGAAAATAAATGAAACAAATGCAATTGTTTCATCTTTTAGTGAAAATGTACTCAACTTTCTAGCGCTCCTTTACACTTCACACCAATAACTTTACAGTTCTTTGCTGTGGCCGTGTCCTACCTAGCAGGATATATCTGCTGTTAGTTAACCATTAGTTTGCTTGTTAACCGTCTGTTTACAAAAACACATTAGTCCGTCTGCGTAGCTCCTATTGGTGCATGTCTACAAACTGTGTGATCGTCCTGCCATCGTGAGGTGAATGGAAAAAATGCAAAGTGATCTTGTTTGATTAACAAAGATTGTGTGGTGGGTCATTTCAAAAGACAAGCTGGGGGCCATTTAAAACTGCTCCGTGGGCTACAGTTGGTCCCCTGGCCAGACTTTGGACATGCCTGTGTTGCACTAACTTAGACTGAGGAACATGTTACTTTTGCTTTATGGTACAAAACTGCAGTTTCAGCAGTTCTGTACTGTATACACTGCAGCTGTCTAGATGCAGTTTGCTATTCCTACTTTCTGTGCATTCAGACATGTCATCATATGCATCCTTTTTTGGCAAGGAGACTTAAAGCAGGTTTTGTCCACCAACCAACTGTGCATTATTAGCTGCAACCAACAGCTCCGTAGCTCGCTCAGTCAGTTGGTCAGTTGTCCCTTTGGTGGCCACAGTTTCGCCCTAGGAGGTTTAAATTTGTCTGAGTTTGTAGTTTGTGTGAGGTTGTGTGTGTGAATGCATGAACGCATCGATACATGCACTTACATGGTCCCAGCTATTGCAAATTTGCCCTTGAGGTTTTTTTTTTTTTTTTTACTTCTTTGTTAGATTTGTGACTTTGGAAAGGACTTTCAAATTTAGCAGCTTGTCGTTAACGAGAGAACATTGTGAATGTGTTCATGTTAAAAGATCAGTTTGTTTCATCACTAGTTTTTAAGCAAGTAAAAAAAAAAAATCAGTGCCCAAATGTCACTATTTGAAGTGGTGTCACTTGTGAATGGAGTGAACTGCCTGATGAATCAAAGCTAACCCTGTATTTTTACAGAGTTTTGGGACTAAAGGTTGTGCATTGCTGTTCTGTCGTGCTCTTTCTCGGTTTATGCCTTGTACTTTCTAACTTCATTCAAGAGACTATTTCCTTCAGCTCCAGTGACGTTTGTAGTACAACTCTTTTCTGTATTTTATGTATGAAATATGTACAGCAATCCCTGACCTATCTGCTTTGTCTTTCTCCCCTTTTCTCTCCCTCTTACCCTCCTACCAATTCTTTCCCATCACTTTTCATCCCCCTTTGTCACCACTGCTCACTCTTTCTCACTCCCTTTGTCTCTGTCTTGATATCATTTATCTGTTCCTCCCTGCATCCTCGTCTCTCCCTGCTTATGTCCCTTCCCCTTCCCTTAGGTTTGTCAAAGTCCTTCCCGTTGGACAACTCTTTGTTCGACAGCTGGCTCGCCCAGTCGGTTCAGATCACCGCTGATGACATGCTGAGCCAGTGGGCTCTGGGTGCCCAGCATCGGGACAAGAGCGGCAGTCTGCTGTCTGACCAGGTAGGCCTTCAGCAGCAGGAGGCCTGCAGAGTGATGCCTCAGCTGTCTCTGAGTTTACTGTAGGTTGTAACTTATACATACAATAAATACTACTTTGATAATGCAGCGGCGGGTTGAATTCAATCGTGGAATTTCACAAATTCAATAATACCAAGATAAAAAGTGATCTGCAAGCTGAGCTTCATTTCAGCGCCACTGCACTGATCAGACCAGTTAAAGGAGGAGGAGGATTGCATTAGCTGCAGTCTGGCTCTTGGCAGGGAGCGGCAGCACACATGGCAAAATTCAAACAGCTGAAATCAGCAGCAGTGTCAAGCAGTCCATCACCTCTTGAACTGAGTCCCAGTCCACTTCACTAGTGAATAAAACCAATGCCAGGAGCCAAATAAGGAACCATCCTGCCTACAGACGTGATTGAGACCGACATCCAAAGTTACATTCTTTGTCCAAAAGTTCATCTTAGTCGAGGAGGGGGCCAAAAGGGCCAAAATCCAGACTAAATTGATGCCCACAAAAGTAGAAAAATGCGTAGGTGGGGCATCTTTGTGAGTAAACTGATTTTAACAAACATCTCACACTGTCCATTGTAAAGGAAAGAAAACACAGAGAGATACACTTCTGCATGCTGGTGCGCTGAATTTAACACAACAGTGCATATTAATCAACAAAAACATTACTTTCCTACACATGTACTCCATCAAAGTTTTTGCTCAGTCTAATTAATTTGCCCTGAGGTTGTGTTGTCAGTGTTTACAGTCACCAAAAATGAAGCACTGCTACAGCCACAAGTGGCAGGTTTTTATTAATAACAAAATAACTTTAGCAGCAAATTCTTAATGGCACAACACTATCAAAGTTAATTTAATAAAGCTGATCATACTAGGAAAATTCTGGTGTGGTAGTATTTTATATTATTCCCACTGTTAACAAATCCAATGAAAATACTCAAACAAGCTAACGATGAATTAATCCTAACCCTATGAACAAATATTTCTGGTGTGGCAAAGCCTAATATGTCTTATTCCTCCATGCCATAAAGCTCCATTGTTTCATTTATTATAATAAACATGGATACTGTACTTTATTTAAAGTTGATCCCATCAACACCGTCCAGCTGCTGGAAATATTACTGCACCAAATGTGAATTCATCTGCAGCTGAAAATAGGCCCCATGAGATTGACTCTTGACTCCTGTTTGAACGATATTTGCCAAAAACTGCAGTGGCCAGCTATTTTATGAAATTATTTAACCTTTTTTAAAAATGAAACTTTAAATTCATGACCTGCTTTAAAAGATTTATGTCACAGTAAGGAACTAATAGCCTAAGTGCTACAGACACAGACAGACTAACACATTATTTGACTCCCACCTGAGGCCCTGTGCTGCGTGTCATCCTCCCGCTCTCCCCCATTCCTTGTCAATCTCCAACTGCACTATAATAGCAATACAAGCCCTTTTTCTTTAAAGAGCTGCACTTGTCAGTATTTTAACATAAATGAATAAATAAATAAAAATACAGAGCCAGGGGATGGGGGTACTATTCTGATAAATAAAAACTCTGAATTTCCAAGATTACAGTTGTACATTTGCATGATAAAACTCTAATATTTTCTGAGATTAAAGTGGTAAATTTACATGAAAAAAAACTCACAAAATTATTTAAAAAAAAAAAACTTGAATATTCTGAGGGTTATTTGCAAATATATGACTTTAATCTTGTAATTTCTGAGGGTTTTTTTTATCAGAATATTACCCCCCTTCCCAGACTCCCCCTTTTTTTAAAAAAAATTTTTATCAAATTTTATCTTTTTATTTATTTATTTAATTATTTATTT